CATAAAATTTGCTTGCAAGCAAACTCATAAAATTTGCTTGCAAGCAAACTCACAAAATTAATACACAACACACCACATATGTAAATATTGAATTTTTTATAAAAAATAACAACTTTTACCCCAAATCAGACAAAGCAGGCAGGCAGATTGAGTTGCTCACAGATTTATCCAGAGATCTATCATCCTGCCATTGGCTACCTGCACTGAATAATAGAAGCTTCAGTCCTAAGCAAGGTTCGGCTCTGCTTAAAAGCAGAGCCGAAGAACTAAAGATTATCTAGAAAGCAAGAAATCCAACCGTTTCCTGCTTTCTAGATAATCTAAATCTCCTGGCACAGCAAAACAGTTGATGGTCGGAAAAAGGAAAAATACCACATTAGCAGACAAGTTTGCCAGGTAAGGAGTGAGTGGGCAGAGAGGGTTCCTGCGGGCCATGTGGGCAGCACAGCCTTGTGTTCCTGCACAACCTGGATTAATTACTTTGGGGAGGTGCTCTGGGGGTGCAGACCACCAAAATTTTCTCATGGACCACCAATGGGTTGGCAAACGCTGGTCTAAATCATCATCTATTTGAAGACTTATTAAATATAATGCAGCATACACACACACACACACAGTGCATTCAGTAAGTTTTCAGACCACCTTCACTTTTGTCAATTTTGTTATGTTGCAGCCTGATTCTACAGTTGTTGAAATTCATTTGTTTCCTCATTAATCTACTCAGTACCACAGAATTTCAGAAATGGGGGGGAGGAGGTTCTGAACTTTCTGAATGCACTGCAGGTATGGGTATGTATGTATATACAGTATCTCACGGAAGTGAATACACCCTCTCACATTTTGTAAATATTTAAGTATACCTTTTTATGTGACAACACTGAAGAAATAACACTTGGCTACAATGTAAAGTAGTAAGTATACAGCTTGTATGAAGTGTAAATGTGCTGACCCCTCAAAATAACGCAATACACAGCCATTAATGTGTAAATCCCTGCCAACAAAAGTGAGTACACCCCAAAGTGATAATGTCCAAATTGAGCCCAAGTAGCCATTTTCCCACCTTGGTGGCATGTTACTCATTAGTGTTACAAGGTCTCAGGTGTGAAGGGGGAACAGATGTGTTAAATTTGGTGTTATTGCTCTCATTCTCTTATACTGGTCACTGGAAGTTCAACATGGCACCTCATGGCAATGAACTCTGAGGATCTGAAAAAAATGAATTGTTGCTCTACATAAAGATGGCCCAGTCCCATGATGTCAAACCTATGGCATGCGTGCCACAAGTGGCATGCAGAGCCATTTGTGCCTGCATGCATGCCACAGGCAAACTTACCACACTGCGCATGCGCGTGCCTCACAGCTGATTTTTTTGCTGGTTTCAAGCCTTTTTCGGCCTCCCAGAGGCTTGGAAAAAGCCTCTGCAAGGCTTTTCAGGCCGAATAGCCTGTTTCGTCAAACCAGCTAAAAAATCAGCTGTGAGGCGCAGTGTAGGTAAGGGGGTGGTGGTGATGAGATTGCATATGCATGCGCAAGGGGTGTGTGGGGCGCACTGCATTCTTGGTGCTGGCACGCCAGTGCGTGTGCGCTAACACATGCAAAATAATTTGGCACAGGAGCCCAAAAAGGTTAGCCACCACTGGCCTAGGCTATAAGATTGCCAAGACCCTGAAGCTGAGCTGCATCATGATGGCCAAGACCATACAGAGGTTTAACAGGACAGATTCCACTCAGAACACGCCTCGCCATGGTCGATCAAAGAAGTTGAGTGTCCATGCTCAGTGTCATATCCAGAGGTTGGCTTTGGGAAATAGACGTATGAGTGCTGCCAGCATTGCTGCAGAGGTTGAAGGGGTGGGGTGGGAGGTCAGCCTGTCAGTGCTCAGACCATATGCCACACACTGCATCAAATTGGGCTGCAGGGCTGTCATCCCAGAAGGAAGCCTCTTTTAAAGATGATGCACAAGAAAGCCCACAAACGGTTTGCTGCAGACAAGCAGATTTATGGACATGGATTTCTGGAACCATGTCCTGTGGTTCAATGAGACCAAGATAAATTTATTTGGTTCAGATGGTGTCAAATGTGTGTGGCGGCAACCAGGCGAGGAGTACAAAGACAAGTGTGTCTTGCCTACAATCAAGCAGGGTGGTGGGAATGTCATGCTCTGGGGCTGCATGTGTGCTGCTGGCACTGGGGAGCTACAGTTCATTGAGGGAACCACGAATGCCAACATGTACTGTGACATACTGAAGCAAAACATGATACCCTCCCTTCAGGGACTGGGCCGCAGGGCAATATTCCAACATGATAACAACTCCAAACACACTTCCAAAACGACCACTGCCTTGCTAAAGAAGCTGAGGGTAAGGGTAATGGACTGGCCAAGCATGTCTCCAGAACTAAACCCTATTGAACATCTTTGGGGCACCCTGAAGGTGGAGGTGTGCAAAGTCTCTAACATCCACCAGCTCTGTGACATCATCATGGAGGAGTGGAAGAGTACTCCAGTGGCAACCTGTGAAGCTCTGGTGAACTCTATGCCCTAGAAGGGGTAAGGCAGTGCTGGAAAATAATGGTGGTCACACACAAAATATTGACACTTTGGGCCCCATTTGGACATTATTGAGTCTGTCATCTGCACCTCTATAACTGTCTGGTTTGGTTCTGCAACTCAACAAGACAGACACAGACTTCAGAGGATAATTAGGACTGCAAAAAATAATTACTACCAACCTGCCTTCCACTGAGGACCTGTATACTGCATGAGTCAAAAAGAGGGCTGTGAAAATATTTACAGACCCCTCACATCCCAACTCCTACCCTCAAAACGACGGTATAGAGCACTGCACACCAGAACAACTAGACACAAGAACAGTTTCCCTCCGAATGTCATCACTCTGCTAAACAAATAATTAACTTAACACTGTCAAACTATTTACTAAGTCTGTATTACTATTAGTATTATTATTAATCCTCCCATCCTTCCCTTTACCCATCTCCTCCCACTTATGACTGTAACCTTGTTGCTTGTATCCTTATGATTTATATGGCCTGCTTCCTCGTATGATTTGATTGCTTATTGTACCCTATGATCACACCTGACCAATAAAGAATTCAATTCAATTCAATTCTCACCTCACTTAGGGGTGTACTCACTTTTGTTGCCAGCAGTTTAGACATTAATGGCTGTGTGTTGCGTTATTTTGAGGGGACGCACATTTACAGTTACACAAGCTGTATACTTACTACTTTACATTGTAGACAAGTGTCATTTCTTCAGTGTTGTCGCAAGAAAAGATATACTTAAATATTTACAAAATGTGAGGGGGTGTATTCACTTCTGTGAGATACTGTATATACAAGGCTAGAAAAGAATGAAGAATAAATGTTACTGGTGGTACATTACTTGTACTAAGGTTTTCTTTTCTTTTCCAATTTTAATTGTTTTTGCTTCTTACTCCTTTTCCATATTCAGCATTACAGTTCGTGCCGAAAGGCAATATCTTAATGGATCTTCTGCATAATTTAAGTGCAAAGGACTCCTAAGATCACAATCCTGTCTATAGTCCTTGACTTGCAACCATTTGTTTAGTGACTGTTCAAAGCTACAACGGCACTGAAAAAAAAAGGAATTGTGACACATTTATGACCGTTGCAGCATCTCCATGCTCACATGATGAAAATTCAGATGCTTAGCAGCTGGCTCATATTTATGATGGTTGAAGCGTCCCAGGATCATAAGATCATCTTTTGCGACCTTCTAACAAGCAAAGTCAATAGGAAGCCAGACTCACTTTTCAACAGTTACTAGCTTAACAGCTGCAATGATTCACTTAACAACTGGGGCAAGAAAGATCGTAAATTGGTGCAAAACTCACTTAACAACCATCTCAGTTAGCAACATAAATTTTAGGCTCAATTATGGTCGTAAGTCAAGGACTACCTGTATTGCTTTATTTCTGTCTGAGGAAAGCATTAATGAAATATTTCACTGTGTTGTTAGATATACTGGTTCAAAAACAAATGTTAGCTTAATTTTCAGAAACCATTTGAACCAAATAAAATCATGAATAAGACATATTATTATTTAACATTCTGACTACAATACATAATCTTTAAAGCCACATTTACCTTCAACTCTTTTTTTATGAAGTGGAGGTCGGCCTTTCTTATTCCGGACAGAAGAAGTTTTGCTACTGCTGCTTCCACTATTCACAGACATCCTATCGTCCTCACCACCTGTCACTAATGAATTTCTATAGGAAATCAATGGGAGCCATACATCTTCCCTCCTTTCCATCATTTGTTCTGTTAGGAATTTCTCCAAATACGTGTGACTGGATTGGGTAAGAGAAAGAAAGAGTATAAACAAATGACTAAAATAGCTATCTATACTATAGCTACAATGTAACTTCTATTTTTAAATAGTTACTAGTTCCTTACATCTATAATCTATAGTCCTGATTTAAGAGTTAGATCTGCTCTGATTTTCTAGGGGGCTAACAATATAACTCAATTATTTGTGGATAAAAATATATTCCTCAGACACTACATATTTGGCATTTATTTTCAGAGCTAATACAATAGCAGCTTAGCGAAACATATTAACTTACATAAGAATTGATTGAATAAAACTATTAAATAATCAAGGAAACTGAAATTAAATGGACATGTGTGTATTAAAAGATTTATTGCAGAATAACACTCTAAAGTCTTCAGAACACAATTGCAAAGGACTCTGTTTTAAGACCAAAGAAGTGAAAGCTCCGATATTTTTTTTTAAAAGTCCTCCAGGTCTTTTTTTAACTCAACAAATTAAAAGGGGATAACTGTATGAGAAAATAACTTCACACATATTGCATTGTAGGCTCTCAAAGCACAAACTGAATTTAAATCGGTAAATAGTGTTATGATATAATAAGGAATATCACATATGTTTCTATTTTTTGAGGGGGAGGAGAGGGAATGAAAAATAAATTGCAGAAATTTTACATCTATATTCAGACTAACATGAAAAGTGCTCTGGAAAATACATTTTTCTCAGCAGTCAGACAGTGACTTTATACACTCTTTTCCTTTATGTCTGGAGAAATTATAACAATAGAAATTATAGCAATTATAGTATATAAGTATGGAAGAGAGCTGATGCTTTTATGTTTTGTCTGTTTTTGTTTGTTTGTTAAAAAAACCAATAAAACTGTTTTCAAAAAAAAAAGAAATTATAGCAAGCACAATTATTTTCTTTAATAATTATTGTTTTATATGTCTCTAGATTTATTTATTTATTTATTATATGTATATGACTGCCCATCTCACAAATGAGTCTGGCCAGCGTACAACAGATTTATTGAATGCTACAAGGCTTGACAAAACCATATGTGAAAATGTTTTTTTAAAAAATACATTTTCTGTCTAAACATCTACAAAAGATTTTGTTTTCTTTATAAGATTTTTTTTGTAGCAACTATTTTTGACACAAAGTATACAACACACATAACAGACTAAATATACGCAAAATTCATAATGTAAATAATGTTTTTCTTATGCTAATAACCCCATGTCTTAAGTTCTTTAGCAAAAGGTTTTTTTCTTGCCAATACATATTTATTGGAAAGATGGCTTTTCTCAATGGTGACGTGCTATCTATCAAATGCCCTCTATGTTAAAATATTTATTGGCTATGATGCAATAACTTCAGTGCTAGGATAAATATTTTAAAATTTCCAAGACATGTTAAAAGCCAATGTAGTCTGTTCTGATGTTTTTATGCTTTGTTTTGTTTGAACTTGTTTCCAATTTTAAATTGACTATTTTTATGCCTCCTGCATATTACTCAGAAGTTTTAGGATGATGGTGGATTAAAAAAAAATATTATGCACTTCCATAAACAGATTGGCTTTCTCAGTCTGGTGAAGGAAATTAAGCAAAATAACATGGATTCAACCCAAACACTTGAAGGAACGTTGAAGTCTATTCATGTAATATAATATTTTCCCCCTTTCCCAACTCTTCAGAGCTTAAATTCTTGTCTTCTACACTGAGTACGTGATTATTACAGTGGGGAAGAGAAACTGCTGAAGGAAGCATTCCTACCCATAAATTAACTCAATTTGATTCTACTTCTCATTACAAATATCTATCTCAGAAATGTTAAATTTTCCTATCTGAATGTATATGCTAGACTACAATAAAGTCTACCTCCTCTCTAGTGGCAAAAGATATATAAATGTTCAGAGGATG